CCCCCCCCCCCCCCCCCCCCGGGACCGGCTGCCTTGGGCCCATCCTTCCTCCCCCCATGCAGGCCCCGGCCAAGAAGATCCCCAAGACCCAGGACTCCGAGCGTGAGCACGACCCGACCACTGTCACCGAGACGCAGGATGAGGTTTGTCCCTGGTCGATGACCAGCCTTTGCCATGTGCTCTTCGTGCATGTTCCCCCAGCCTCCCCCCCCCCCTCCCCCCCGCCAACATGACTGTCACATTGACGAATGCCCATCTGTCCTTTTGTCCCTCCCCAGGTCGAGCAGGATAAGCTTACCGACGAGTTTGCGGATTACTACAACAGCCAGCGCAAGCCCAAGATCCTGATCACCACCTCCAAGAAGCCTGTCGGGGTATGTCCCCGCCACCAGCCAATTGTGGCCCTCCCACCGTCTTGCCCCCCTCCCCTTTTCCATCCCTCCACATGGCACTGCTTGCTGACCCCGCGTCCACCCATCGCCGTGTGTGCGTCCGTGCGTGCCCCTCCCCCAGAACACTTTCAAGTTCATCGACGAGCTGCAGTCCGTCCTGCCGGATGCGCACTTCTACGCTCGCAAGGGGTACAAGATGCAGGAGATCATCAAGTTTGCCAACATGCGGAACTTCACCGACCTCATGGTCATCCACGAGGAGAACAAGGAGCCGGACACCATCACCATGATGCACCTGCCGTACGGGCCGACCGCGCACTTCCGCATCTCCAACATCAAGCTCTCGTCCGAGATCACCGGCCACGGGACGCCCACCTCCCACAGCCCGGAGATCATCCTATCCAACTTCACCACCCGCCTGGGGCACTCAATCAGCCGCATGGTGGGCTGCCTGTTCCCTCATGAGCCTGGCTATCGCGGCCGTCAGGTGGTCACCCTGCGCAACCAGCGCGACTACATTTTCTTCCGTCGGCACCGGTACGGCGCATGCTCGGCCCCGGGCGTGGGACGCGTGGGGCTTCCTTCCGCCCGCCTCCCCAGAGGGGGAGCATCATCATGCTTACACCTGCCGAGGTGTTGCCACTTTGCTGACTTCCGATCCCCTCCTCCCTCGGACCCATGGCCGTTGCCTCTCGCCACAGCTACATCTTCGAGGATGAGGGAACCAAGGCCCGCCTGCAGGAGCTTGGCCCGCGCTTCACCCTGCGTCTACAGTGGCTCCAGAAGGGCACGCTCGACTCGCGCTTTGGGGATTTCGAATGGCATCATCGCTCGGAGATGGACACCAGCCGCCGGAGGTTCTTCCTCTGAGGAGGCGAGCTGCCCCACACCTCTCGGCTTCCCCGTTGCTCCCCCCCCCCTCTCTCTCTGTCTTTCTCTCTCTCTCTCCTCTTGCCTCTCTCCTCCCCTCTCTGTGCTATTTGATGGGAGGCCAAGGCACAGGGCGAACCGCCGACGCGTTTGGGGGCTCGCCCAAATCCGCCCCCTGGTGCGGTGCATCACCAGGGAAAGAGGAGTCTCCCCTCTGTGTCTGTGCGCACGCGCCACCCCCACGCGCGCACACGTACGAACACACACAGACACACACACACACACACAC